AGCCAATGTTTCAATGAATAACGTGTAAAAATTTTAGTGCAATCATTTTTGTAGTTCTTTTTTTTATCTATGAAACCATAAAAATTCAAATTTGACGGTACCGTTCTCAATATCGTACAATTAATGTATGCAAAAATAAATCGATATTTTTAACACTTTTGACTAGAATGACCTTTTGAAAATTGCGTAGGAATCGATGGAGCTGCGTATAAATAATAAATCTAATCATACGAGTTAAGGGTTATTATATAGGCAAGTTTCCGCTATTAGAACCGCGATAATGGTGAATATTCTTTGAGGTATAATCGCATCGGTTTTAGGTCATTACTAGCTGATGATGAGTAATAATTACGAACGATCTATGCAATTAGGATACAAATTTAACGATGGATTTCACGTCGTTTAGAATAAATCAAAAGCAAGCGTAAAAAAGTATCGATTAATTATTATCTTAAATATTAAATTGTATTAACATATTTTTTGTATATTAACCGAGAAAAATATTAATTATCGATGTTTAAAAAGATTGGACGGCGAAAGAATTGGGTCGAATTGAAAGTACGTATTGATGAAGAATATATCAAAGAGACAATAAAGTTAAATTAAAATAGATTGATCATAACAAACTGAATTAATTGAAATCACAACGTACAGGCTATGAAAAAAGTCTTTCATAAAAGTCTTTGAAGAGGAAAGATGAACGTATAATTGAATTATATCTAGTAAACGTAAAGCATTTATATCGTAATAAATGAAAAGCGATCGAACCTACGTAAATAACATATTCTTCGTAGGATAAAAAAGAAACATCGTCGTTAACGGAGTCATTAAGGTGTGAATTATTGGTTCATATGTTATAAAACATGTCTGATGAGATACAAGAAGAATAAAGAAATCGAAAAAGACGATATGTGGATCATAATAAATCTCTAATATATCTTTTTGAACAATCTGAAAATCGATCAATGCATCTAAATAAACATATTAATAATGTAAATTCAGTTGTAATCGATATATAATAGTAGTAAATTCAGTTGCAAACAAGACTTTTAATATGGACAGCAGTATTACCCATTCTAGTTAAATGTAAATCCGTAGCATAGCCGCGTAGTCCTGTTATGTTTTACTACAGATGTAGTAATGAATATAGCGCTAAGTCAATATTAATGATTGTACCCTTGGGATTAATTGGCATGTGAATAATTGCTCACTAAAAGTTTAAATCCTCGTTTTCTAGAAATAGGAAAGGACACTGGAGACCTGCTTTATGTATTTATGTATCAAGATTTTGTTTTTAAACTATATTTATTATTTTCTTTATATACATTTCGTAAAACGTTATAATTAACGTTAATGCAATGAAAATTGACAAAGAGCTTAATTAAGATCGTATCTTCTTCAGCGAATAGAAGTTTTTTTTTTGCAATAAAATCCTAATGTATTATATATGTTCAATATATACATACTCGTATTTATATCACGTATACGTATGTTATATACGCATATTACATAAAAATGCAACTATTATTTTATCAAGATACAAGCTGTCATTTATAGAATAATAGACAGTTCCATAGAGATGAAAATGAGGAGAAAACAAGATTTAAAGCAACATCGAATGTAGAAGAACGTTATCGGGCAAGGTAAAATATCGATTCTACGAACGATTCTCGTCGTTCTATATCGTCAATTACACGAATCTCTAATAATCTATTATCTCGGTGATATTGACTCTGTAACAGTGTATGAGAAAACAAGAGAGCAACTACATTAACGAGAATTCACACATATCGAAAATAAGCGAACATTCCTTCTATATATCAATTCTGGCGTCACCTACTGACGTTAACATTTTTATTTATAAATATATTTGTGTAGTAAACGATGAAAACACGTACGAAAAATGATTGCACAATCATTTAGCGAGAAGAACTGTATATTATCTTTAAGAGAATTAAAGAGACAAACAATCTACAGTTTCTTCAACAGAAAACAAAGGAAAAGAAAAAATTTAAAAAATCGAACGATTTCTTTACCGATATCTCTTCGAGAACATAAACGTAAAATGTACCATTTTTATTGATTCACCTAAGTGAGATTTTGTTAGCCTTGAGAAGATGGCAACTCTTAATTAATTCGACTCAAGACAATATTTGAGTGGCTTTTCCTTTCGCATTTAGCATTAAAGCATCTCATGGCATTTCCCTAAGGGTCCTTTTCAAGCGTTTCTCGAAAGTCATAGCCACAAGACCGTCATTCAAATTCATACGCAAATTTAATTACACCATCGAGGAGTGTCGACTCGTTTCTAACATTGATATCTTTCATTTCTTTTCTTTTTCTTTTTTCTTTTTATTTGTTATACATTTACAAATTATTTTCTATTATAAATGTGAGGGATATTTTCGATTCGTCTTGAATATTATTCCTCGTGGTTCTTGTTAGTATCTCTCTCTCTCTCTCTCTCTCTCTCTCTCTCGAATTGATTGCATTGATTTTCAATTCGTCCTGCATTGATAAGACATAAATTCAATTAGGATCGTCGATCTGTGAAATACCGTTGGTATATGGAGATATTTCAAAGACGCTTCCCAATCCCATTTTTCGTTCATCTCTCATACGAAATCTATTTTCTATTTTTCTATTTGTTTCCCAGGTTAACGTGATTTAGATTTTTGGATTTATAACTAACGTACAAATAACTACTATAACTATTCATTTAAATTGTACAATAACTAAAATAAATACACTTATATTCTGTTGAATTTATTTCATTTTGGTTTGATCGAATCGTATAATACAAAGCTACATATGGCTCAAAATTATGAATTAATATTATTAAATCCATTGTTAAATCTATTGTGCTAAACCAAAGTAAGCGATTATAGTAAAAGTCTTTGAGAAGCTTTTCTAGTTAATTCTCATCGTTAAGTAAATAAAATAATTAAATGTTGTACCAAAGTAACGATAAATGGATCATATGCGATAAAGCCGAAATGCAATCACAATTTCAGATATTCGTGGAGCCATTACTATAAAATAATCGAAGCGGCAAATATACTATTATCTGATCGATATTATAATATGAATATAAAGCTTTCTCTATTTGTTTTGTTTATTAATAAAAATAATAATATTAGTATAAAAGAAAAATGATGTATATGAAATTTCATTTTTAAATGAATCTTTTGAAGGTATACGCATATATATCTACTTTTGTGAGTTATCGAGAAACTTTCGGAAAAGTAATTCAGATTAATTTTTTCCTCGTAATGGATTAAATTTCCAATTTCCGATTCTCTTTTAAAGACTTTGAAGTCCTTATCAACGGAGATATAAAAATCTTAACGTAAACTGATGGCAATGAGGAAGGACTTATCCGAATACAAAAGAATCTAATTACAAATAAATGTAGATTATCGTTTTTCAAATTCTAATTTAAAAGCTTCCCACGTAAACAAAGCTCGCTAAGGAATTATTTTGAATAAGTTTGAAAAATATAATTTAGTTTGCAGGGAGAGAGAGAGAATGAGAAAGAAATAAAATAAAAGAAAGGAAGAAAAAATGAAATGTGAAAAGAGTATGTAAATAAATCGAAGACGTAAAACCTGTGTATACAGGTGCACGCTTTAGTAATTAATTTTTTCTTTTATACATTCCATGGAACAGAATGTTTTCAATTACAACAAATTTTTTTCAATTTCTTTTTCTTCTCTTGATTATTATGTCCATTTGACCGTACTGCTATCATTATTTTATTCGTTATAAATTCTAACGATGACGAATACAAAAAGAATAAATCTTTCAAATTTTTTATATTCTATTATAATATAAAAAAAAAAAATTCTATAAATATTTCTTGCTGCAATAGTAATGTAATAAAATGCTTATCGAGAATAAAGGAGACGTTTTACGAATTCCAAGAAATTCCAGAGTCTAATTGTAGACATCGGTCAGAAAATATTTTGACCTAATGCTATTCGATATTTCGCATTGAGAGATTCTCTTTTAACTTTCCTAAAGTTCGAATACATGACTTCACTCTAAGGGCATACCAATTTAATATCCATCATCTCGTAATTTAGTATAGTGTTCGAAGCTTTGTCTGGAAATATGGTGGGATAATATTCGATATGATTAAGTCTAAAAGAATAAATTACATAATGATTCTCTTTTTTAAATGTATGCGGTAAAGTACGAAATCCAGCATTCTGTAGAATTTTGTACTTTGCCGGTACATATATATGTTGCATGTGTGTATATGTTTATGTATGTGTATATGAGTTTGTATGATACATCAACGATGTACTTCTATAAACGAAGAGAAAATACTTCTAGAAGATATTATCTCTCTTTCACAGTGTAATTAATTAAAGTGAAAGTAATATACCGTTGGACTTGGATATTTATTTCAAGAAAACTAATTCGTATATCGTATTTAATCTTTAAAATAACACTAAGGAAAAGAAACTGAATTACGCTAAGATGTATTATTCTTGAGGCATTCTCCCGAGAGTTGGTTTAAAAATTTTATTCGAGTTGACGTAGCACAGACGAAAGAAATTCCTGATGGATTACAAGTTCCTTTACAACAACTTCCTCTTAGTGGTATTACATCATGATAATGTAATCCAATAATAAATGACTATGAAAATATACCTAATAATGCTTTTTTAAACCTAACTCTACTAATCTGCCGACCCCCGTTATTAATTCGAAATCAAGTATTATACCAAAATTCATCATACTTTCGAATAATTAAATAAGAAACTTTAAAGTAAACGTTATAAATACTTGGATATAAATTGTAAAATGAATCTTGCTTGGTTTTTAATTTTTAAAGAACTTAATTAATAAATGACAAGTAACATTCTTCCTTTAAAGTCGTCGCATGAGGAGACTTATTTTTTTTCTTTTTCAAGAAAGGACTGCGAGTGAAGAAAAGAAAAGTGAAAAGAAGTAAAGAAGAAAAAAAATGAGAAAAAAGCTTTGATACTTACGTGTATTGTCGTACCGTATGCCATTAAGTTCTTCGAAGCAAGGTAATACGGCAAGAGTTCCCGGTGAGGTGTAAGGCCAACAGAGTAAAGAGTCCCAATTAATTTCGCAGCCATCACGGCCCTCCGTGACTATTCCTTCTTTAACACCATCATTGATGGCTTGACGTTGGTATCGTTGTTCCAACAAAAGCTCTTGATGCTGTCGTGCGAGGCACTTCAATTCTTTCTCGTTGTTAAAGTCCTCCTTGAAGTCCGTAATGTACTTCAAAGCGTTTCGCACGTAATTACGATCCATAGATTCGTCGCTGTTCGACGACAGCCAGCTAGCCATGTCTTATTTATTTTTCTCTCTCGTTATTTCGGAATTTTTCTTTTAAACTTAACAAAATATTGGGATTTAATCGATCAGAGAGAGATAATTGCGAAAAGATCTAAATTGGCAGATTGCGCGAGAATAGTCTCTCTTTTAATATAAAATTCTATTTATTCTTTTTTTTTGTTTCTCCAATTATATTTTTTCTTCTTTTTTCACAACTTTTAGTAAGTACTTTAATCTTTCTCTTTCCTTCTAGTTTTTAATTGTCCCATATATGCTATAGTAGTTACTGCACAAATAGAATATCGTTTCTATAAATATTCTTTCTGTTTCTGTTTCTCTTCCACTTGTTGTCAAATATTTTTTACTTTGATCTATTATCTAATATGCGCGTATCGTTTCCATGACTCTTTTCATTTCGTATGAGGTTACTCGTAACAGAAAAATAAAATGTAAGATATTCTATTCTTGTCTTTAACTTTGAATCGGAATACGTCCCACTACATCGTAGTTTGTATGGATTAAAAATTGCTAAAGTTGGTAAGGCTCAAAAGAAAAAGTTATATACGTTTTCTCTGATATTCCTTATCTCGTTACAGCTAAAGTTAATAATGTCACAGATATGCCCTGCGGAAATCAGCCGTTCCTTTTATTTCCCCTCGCTTCGTTATTTACGTTGTCCATACGTGATGCTTTGCGTTGGTGTTTACTGCAAACTGCATTTAGGAAAAAAGAAAAAAGAAGAAAGAAATCCATTAAAACGCTTTTTTACCACAATCGCAAGTAGAATGAGAAAATAAATAATAACGTCAAATATTTGCGTTATCATAAACAATATTTTCTTAACTCCTTATCTACGATACTAAAGTTCGTAATTATGTTTTATTTTTTGTTAGAATAATCTCTATTGTAAACAATCGTACTTCCATTTTTTCTTATGTTAGAAAGAACAGAGAGAGAGAGAGGAAAAGAGATACATTTGAAAATCCATTAGTGGTATAAATAAGGAAAAGAAAAACCAAAAAGAGAGAAATTGTTTTTATAAAAATCAAGATATTTTAACCTTTAGAAAGAAAGTTTTGTAATAGTATTTAAAAGCATCTTATTTTGTATTAATTAAATTTAAATGAGAAAATGTGTTGTTTCTTTATCGATAAGAAATATCCTCTCACGTTTCCCCTTCATAGTTAGAATCACAGGACGTTCCTATAATACGCGCTTTATTGTCTCAATAAAGGTCTGAATCACATCTACTCGACCAATGAATACGATTCTTGAGAAGCATCTAGCGAAACTCTCGAAACGTCAAGCGAATTATCGATCCTCCACTCGAAAGGACGTGCGTCTGGTAACCATTACGCGTGATCTGGTAGCACCTTCTCTCAATACTAAGGAAATCCGGCCTTAACTTTCTATTGTCACGTCGCGTGCTTACACTTCATTGATATCTTAAATCGATACGCTATTACTAAATAGTGATAGATAGGTGGATAGAGAGAGAAAGATATAAACAAAATTAATAAAATACAAATGTCATCAAATTAAGAGACATTGAGAATCTACATTGCATAGAAATGGATTAGTTTCTAATCTCTTATCACTATTTAACAACATGTGGTGCATAAAAATCACGTTTGTCGCTTAAAATTATAAAATGGAAATTGCAATCCAATTTACACCCCTTTTGAAATCGATCGATGCAATTGGTTTAAGATCTTTGAGATCTTTTGAACGTTAGACAATTAGAGATATATATATGTATATAAACAAAATTAGTAAAATTCAAAACTTATGAAAGTAAGTAAATCATCAAGTTATCAATCCTTTTCAAGTCGACTGATATAATCGCAGTAAGATCTTTGAACCATGGTAAGATATATATTAAATAAAAATTTTAAATTTCGTCTATTCAGGAATAGATTCTTCGAAACCCTCTAAACGTTATAGGATAATCTTCTTGACGAATCCTTCGGGTCCGATAGTGTCTTTTTAAGTTACTTTGGAAATTTTATGTTCAAAGACATGCTCGGTCTCCATGGAGTAATTCCATTTTTTCTTTTAGATACGGGTTATGTTTTTCACAAAGAGAACAATGAAAACGTGGAAGAACGAGAGAGCGGTGTTGGTTCGCGACAAAAAGTTCATAAAAGTATATACGCTCAGTGAAATAGTACTCGAAAACTTCCGTTGAACTAATTCTACGAGTTCTCTGCTCTCATGATCGTGCTTATGAATTCCCCTTATTGTTAACGTTTTGTACCATGCAACGCAACGTACGGCATATTACTCGAGAATGAGACATTCTGAATATGTACCGGATAGAAATGGATTATATTTTAATCTTGTCGGAGAATTAGAAATGTATATGTTATTTTAATACATTTATATTTAACTATATTTCACACGTGGATATAAAAAAAATTAAATTTTATTTAATTTATTTTAATAATTCGATTGAAACGATTACTTGAAAAAATTATTTAAATATTTGTAGTATTTTTCGTTATTCAATTAAACATTTATTTCGATGTATTTAATTAATTATTATCTTCTTAATGGCTTTCTCTCTTTTTTTTTCTTTGCTTCTTTTTCTATCTCCTATTTAACGTATATATCTATCCGACAACGAGAGATCGACGATTAAACGCTTCACGAGAGCTTTCGGCTAGATCTTTCGCAAGAGCTTTCGTAGTTCCAGTTAATGGACCACCCATTTAATGTCGATGTACGTATATATATATATGTCTTTTTGAAATTCTGCAAATGGAAGTACGATCGATTTTTCCTATTTATATCCAATGTATCTCTAACTTTTACTTATTTTTCATTTTATAGAAATTAATTTGATATCTACTTTCTATGGACATTCGATCGTTGCAACTTTATTTATCAACAGAAAAATTGTTCGGAATATTGCTGATAGTATCTAATATTTTAACTTAAAGGAAGAAAAAAAAAACCCAAGGAAAAGAAATAAATTAAATGTTAAAAGTTTAATCTCATATACTCATATAAGTTTGTCCAGATAAGTTAGCGAGAAGTATCAAAGATATTTAAAAATTTATCTTCTTGAAGATTCTTTTGAAAGAATATCAAAAACTTGCTTTCAAAAGAAAAAGAAAAATTATAATAATTATTTTCTCGGCATAGAAGAAAAGAAGAAAAAAAATGATTTTACGAAAGATTTATCGTTAACTATATAATGAAGTGTTCTCACACTGAAAGGGTAGTTGCATCCTTCGTTGATAAGAAGATACGACAGGGCACGTGGCGAAGAAGGAAGAATAATAATAATAATAATAGGAGTCTGCGGAGTCATTCGTGAATATATGAAAACCGCGAAATTCGGAGAATGCACCACGTTCTCGATATGGATTTTCGTCTGCACCAGAAGCCGGCGAGTACGACTGCCTGCCTCTCTCAACCTCGCGCGTTCTCGCGAAACTCTCGAGGAAAACGAAAGAGGAGAGGAGAAACAAGGGGGAGTGGAGGATGTGTCTATGTTTCCATGCCTGTGCGTAGATGTATAAGAGTACGTGTTTCAGTAGGTGGAAGAAGGGAGCATGCGCTAAGATCCTTTATCATTCTGCGCAGGTGCAGATGAAACGCGCCGAAAGGACTTCCTCGACTGTAAAACGGATAAAAAAAGAAAAGGAAATGATAATGATTGATACAAATAAAGAAAAGGAAAAAACAGATTACATTTCGTATAATTTTTCGTATTACACTCGAAAAATAATTTAAAATATCAGATATTTATTTCATTTGTTAAATTAAAATAATATAAATCAATATACGTTGAGTGTATAAAAACATAAAGCGAAATGACGTTTTGTTTATTCACTTTTTGGTACTTCGAATTATTCAAATTCCTTTTTCATAGGAAGTGTTGTCACGAGGATGCCTGAAAATCGCGATGACACCGTTTTCTTGCTGGAAAATGTCTTGTCGATCGAAATGTGTTTAATACGGCGTACGGTCAAAGTTGGATGAGTAAACTTGTTTTCAAAGTTCGACAAGTTCAAGTTTCACAGAAGCTTTCTTCTTGTCTTGGAAATTCCCTTTCCATTTCTTTTCTTTTTCTTTTTCTTTTTCTTTTTCTTTCTTTTGTTCCTTGTCGGGGAACATTTTCTCTTGGGTATTTTATTTAAGTTATTTATAATTTACATCATGCATGAAACTTGCACGTTGCATTTCTATGTTATATGTACGTTTATATGTGAACGATAAATTCGTGAATTTAACGAAGCATAATAAAATAGCAAGACTATAAGGTAAAGTATCACACGTGAATATGAAAGAGAAAGAAATAGAGATGGAGAAAAAGAGAATGAGAGAAAGGTCGAATGAATAAATGCTGGATGAGAGATCGGAGGGATATCGTACCGTGTACTATGTGCGTGCGCAAGCACGAGCAAATGTTGTTAAAGAGAGTACACGTTCAGAAAATAATGATTCTTCCATTCGTGTGCAAATTTACGTAGATTTATTATCATTCTGATCGTTTGAATCGTATTCGGAATTATGCACTTCAACGAATTTATATTGAAATCATCGAATATTTCTCTTCCTTTGTATTTTTCATGCTTTGTGAAATTGGTTATTAATAAAAATTATCATTTATCAAAAGACTCTTTCAAAGTTCAAGAGTTACTTTTTGTCGTGTTACTGTCAGAGAAAATGTTGTCATCTGTCCATCTCAATAGAAGAAATATTATATTTCCGTAATATTTGTACAAATTGAAAAAAGGGTTGGTTTGACAGCTTGTCAAGGATTATAGACAATATACAAACGTTTGCCGTAAATAAAAACATACTCGATAGATATGGTTTTCTACGCGCTCGCGAATTGACGCGATCAAATATTATTTTAAATAAAAACATTAACAATCTATATGAAAAAGAGACAATTAATTCTAAGAATTACACTCTAATTAAAATAATCTTTTTTACTTATAGTAGAGAGCATGTATATTATTGTTATACTACGTAAGCGTGTGAGGTATGTATACATGTGTATCTATTGTATATAGACTCGTAAAAAAGAAATGCAATCTTCTATCGATTGCTATAAATTTCAAATTGATTGCCAGCAATTTTACGATTATTTCCTGGTTGTTTACTATCTCTCAAAGTTAACATTCTGTGTACAAAATAAAACTAGATTTAAGATACTAAGAGAGTTTAACGTTAAATATAATAAAAAATATTTAATACGTATTCGGGGTAATATTTCATTGCACATAACTCTTTTATGATTTTTAACTAATATTTAAGACATATTAACTAGAATATTTTTTATGCGTAGAGAAGAGTCAATGCAAAGTCTACTTATTGTCTGCTATGAAAAACATTAGTCTCGTTTTAATCAATTTAGTATCCTGTCATGGTATACATGAAATATTCATCACGTCGTAATGGGAAGAAAGAACAGTCGAAAGTGTCACGGAATTGAAGAAGGTGCGAGACATTATTTTAAATTTAAATCGAAAGAAACTGACTCAGCACTTTAATAAAACGAAGAATTCTGTACCTTGACTGTAAAATATTAACTTACAATTCGGATTTCATCATATAATTCTTAATAATCTATGTAAAGATTGGATTATGCAAATTTATAAAGAAATAATACAGTCTTTTATTGATTTTATATTAAGTATTATGCTATAATAATAAAACCTCTTATTCAAAATGATATAATAATTATTAATAAATAAACAGAAGTAATTTTATCGACTTTCAATCCCAGAATGATTTGCAATAACGAGTAAATATGTTTTCAAAGTTACTATACATACCTACACTTTTATATCCTCACGTAATCTTGTTTTCGGCATAAAAAGACGTAAATATAAAAGACGATTTTGATTACACCGTTCTCCATATAATATTACGACTTTCGCATAAATTACTTAATCGTAAACATTTGAAAACCCATAAATCGATATATAACGTAGGTAATCTTTCTTCTAAAATATGCAACGCATATTTCAACGTCTATACGAAATAGACGCTATTATGTATGAGTTTACTAAGGTATTTTCACAAAACAGTTGAAATCCATTCAACTGAAGTGATATCACAAAAGGTAAATCACAGAAGACGTTTAAATTTCCCATGTATCTCCCATGTTTCATATGAAATCGTACTCAAACTCAAAGTGGTCCAAATTGAACATGCGTACTAAATATATATATAGTTATATTCTCCTTAATGTCTGCTATTCCATTTTGGAATGGAAGGACTCGTGTGAGTGTATAGCGATATACTGTCAAGTGTCAACCCGATAGTGTGCCCTTGCTGCCATTTGCCAACGTCGAGATCTACAACTCGCAATTCATCTATATGTGTGTATGTGGTCAGGAATAAGTGTTTAACGGGAAGCATTTACAAGATATTAAAGCGTTAAATCATGTTCAAGTGAATCTTGTAATCATTTTGGTTGAACGACCGGTACAAGAACCGAAGCTATTCATTTAAACGAGCAAAGAAAAGAATATTATCCAAACTATTATCTTACTTTTTGCCACTAAAAAAAAGTTTGGCCCTACTAGCTAAGGAGATTAATGTGATGGAGTGGTGTTAAATACACCATCTTTTACTTCTACCGAAGACAAATGTTGCTGACGTTAGGAAGGAAAAGTGAGAGATCGTTTATCAAGATACAAATGACTATCTTTAAAAATACTTTCTTTTTTTACCTTAGATACGTCACACAATGGTATCGATTCAATTATGTATATAATTAATAGATATTTAGAAATAAATTTAGTTGATAGTGATCATGTTTAAAATAACTTTTATTCTTTAGTTTCGAAATTCCAATGACCCTCTCGTATATTCATAAAAACAATAAACAAAGATTCATATCCCTGTACTCATTTTCATTGATAAATAACTATGTTCCCCATTCTTTCTTCTAGATTCTTTATGAAACAGCATATTTTCGAAGTCTGAAGTTTGAAATTCTTCCCTCAACAATGTTGGTACATACATACATATATACATGTATACGAGATGCATATATCGTATAAACGCAATCCTGAGGACGAGTCTTTGGCAAAACCAAGGGAGAAGAAAAAAAAAAGTAAAGTACAACAGAATATGTCTGATATTCTCTTTCGAGAGAAATAAGTAAAAATTCACAAAGGATAATAACATTTCTCTCTCTCTCTCTCTCTCTTTTTCTTTTTCTTCCTTCCTCTTTCGTAGAAGAACCCTCAAGCTTTTTCGACCTGGGAAAAAATGTTCTACCTACGATACATCGATGTAAAAAGATTGAGGGTTGTGGTTGGAATAGCGGTGGAGCTATTAGATTCACGATAAAAGGCTGATCGACTAACCTTCCTTATGCATTTGCGAGATAACAACTAGATATATTTAAATGAAGACATTACTATTTATTAGCTAAAATACGAGAGAAAATCTACAAATAAGAAGTAGTTTATGGTTATTTATTTATATTTTAGGTTGATATTTACAACCCTATAATCGTACTATGACATCAAACATACTGGTTACTATAAAATAACGTTCGTGTTTCGCAATACATCGTGAAGAAAGTTTTCTAAAGTTTCTTATAGCGAACGTTTGAAATTGGATCTTCAAAATATAACTTCTTTCCCTTGACTTTTTGCCATTCGAGTTTACAATGGCAAATCCGATTGATACTACCGTGAAATGAAATTCGTTCTGTTAAATAGACTTTTACGTTTTAGAAGTATCGTGTATTCGATTACTTTCTAAATATATCTGGTTTTCTTTCTTATAATAAATAAATAAAACTGTAAATAATACTCTTCGTTTTCTTATATTTGTATGTACTTCAAAAAATATAAACTTATTGTTAGTTTGAAACAGAAAAGAAAAAGAGAGAGAGAAATGAAGAAAAAAAAACACGATAAAATAACATTTGATATCTCCATGAAGTCGAAATGTTCTTTTATGATATTTTCGAGATGCAATATTTTGTTACGTTTAAACGTCTATTATTTACCATCGAATTAGAATATTTTCAAATTAGGATTTCATCTTTAATACCTAAAGTATCTATTTTTTTAAACTACGGTTAAAAGAATGTAAAAAAGATATTAGTAAAAGTGGAAATTAAATTGAAATATAAGATGTACGTGCCAAGAAACCATTTTCTTTGATAATGTTTACCGAAAGAAAATGAAGTCGAGAGAAAAGAAAGCAAATAGTTACGTTTCTAAATAACCTTCGACACGCGATATCATTTTATTTATTTTTAGACCATGACCATGGGTGTTCGAATTTAGAGTAAAAAAAAAAGGAAAGACAAAAAAGAAAGCCTGTCTTCTCCAGAGAAAGAATCAATTTAGATAAAACGTATTCGTGACTTTGATTTCTTTTGATAATAAAAAGACAACAATTTTCCCTAGGAACGTTTTACTCGCACGGAACTTTGTCATGACCTTTTCACAGTCTTAATGGGACGCAATAACGCAAAATGTTCTGACTAAAGGTAAAGTACACAGTTGGGATTAGACGAAAATATGAGATGAAAGTAAACGCGGATACATTTATATTCAATACAAATTATTTTTACACATAAAATTATAATCATATGAGAATACAATTATTAATTAGTAAAATTAATCGTTTTTCAATAAAGAAAAACAAATTCTTTATTATGCCATGGAATAAACCTTTTATACACTTTCAAATAATTCCGGATAAAGCGAGTTTACGAGGTAATCGAACATGAACTATAAACGACCGTAATGGCGCAAACTATTATATTTCTTTAATGCTCTAAACATAACGAAAGAAAAGGAGTCGTCTTTCTAAAAGAGATCACAGCGCGCTTCAGAAATCAAACGTTTCTCTTATTAGCTTTATTATTTTCTTCTTCGATTATTAAATATAATAATACGCTTTTTTTAAGTTTATTAAAATGTTTACGTTAAAAAATTTAACATGACTTATATTTTCTATTATTTTATATTATTCGTATTAACGAAGGAAATTAGACCTTTGTATATACTATAACAGAGTTGGCATTTGTCATTAAGTTCGTAGTCTCTTTTGTAAAATTATACTTCTCTTTGTCCAGCAGAAACTCGCAAGCAAAAAATATAAAAAAGCATCAAAGAAGAAAATTCTTGTGTTTCAAATTTCTCTTGCTATATGTTTGTATTCTCGATTTGCACGCTTTAATTAAAATGTATATCGTTTCAAAAAATTAAATACTCACGAGAAAAAGAAAATGAGAATAAAATTTGGTTTATTCTCTTTTTATATATTGAGCATATTTGTTAATGTAATACTTGAAATAAATTTGATGAATAATTTTCTAATTTATCATCAAAGAAATCGATAATATTATGCGATATCGTCAAGTTAGAATTCTACCTTGTCGACGTCATGCATTACTCATTAAACTTTACCACCAACGAATTTCAAATACGTAGAATAAAAGAGATAATGCCATCTACAAGTACATTATTTTATCAAATAACTAATTATCTTTTTTATACACAATAATAAAAATAAAAACAACTAGAAATTTAAATAAAAAACAATGTAAAAATATTTGTTTTTTTTGTCTCTCTTTCTTTCTTTCTTTTCAATATCTTTACAAATCAAAAACGTAATTCAAAGATATCGGTCCAATTTGTATCATTTTGCTAAAAAATACTTTAAACTAAACTCACCTTAACATTTGCTTTATCACAGATGATGAAATATCTTTTAATAATAAACCGAGGTCCATTCATAAAATCGAAGTCATAAAATTTGATGCTAGTCGGAAGATGTAATCGGTAGTGGGATCGTTTCCAAATGTTTCCCGTATGTGCTGCGTTTTCCTTTCATGACTCAGATGTTTATTAGTGCAAGCTCTGGATCATAAAATATAAATTTATTGTACGTTTCATGTTATGATCTGTATTCGAATATAGAACATTTCCAAAATGAACTAAAATATAGACAATTTCCAAAAATATTTTAGAGTATAGAAAAGTTTCAGAAAAAGGAAGTTTTCAAAATTTAATACATTATAACGTATACAGTTCAAATTAATAAAATTCGAATATATAGAATATAACATAATTGAATGATTTTCAATTCTTCATCGATGAAATTACTATAATGTAAGAAATGTTAGAGAAATTCTCATATTCATTAAAAACATATTATAATTTTATATACGTTTTTTCTTGGACATGCAAATGATAAATAAATATTAATTATTAGAAAAACTGGGGAGGGGAATGAAATTCTTTTTAAAATACCTTCATGTCCCTTAATATTTATAAAATTCAATCATTGCATGGCGTCCTGTCTTGGTTTCACAATTTTCACTACATTCACCAAGAATTTCACACAACTTTTTAAATACTTATTCTCTCAGTTATATATAAAATGTTAATAAAGAAATTACACACTGTATTTTTTCTTGACATTCACAAAACAGCAATAATAATTCTGCTACGTCGCAAAGAGATTTCAAACTGAAGACCTGTAGCGTTCTGTAAAATTCAAACAGTAAATTGCTAATGCTGATTGGTCAATCGCTCAAACCATTGCGGAATCCAATCAACCAATCAGCGACCCCGTCTCTTACTTTATATAACTTCAGCCATCACATAAAACAATGTATATTATTCAATTAGGAATATATTACATGCAAATAAGAACTCTTCTTATTAAAGATCTTAAACGATTGGACAATTCGTCTTACTTGTGTAATCGTCCAATCATTGTCGAGGTGCATTGATGATATATACAATCTAAAAACAAATTCTAGATATTTATTTTTATATATATATACCGGTAATTAAAGATTTTTTTCTTCTCTTATTTAATATATGTAATGATTTATATTAATACGAATAGATTATTTAAATAATAACTCTCATTCGTAACAACTTAATACGACTCTTTTGATGTAATTAATGAACTAACGATAAGGAATCGTAGGTAGCACGATTAAAACTAAAAAGGTGGTAAGATTTTATATTCATTTATGAGAATCTTACGAGATATTCTTACTTATCTTGGTTAAATATTAGCACTACTAACAAGATCTTGGCTTCTTATATTTACCGTTACTGGTATGTTACATTGAGAAAAAGGTACACCGGTAATTCAAGGAAAAAATAATTGAAAGTTGCGCTGAGTGGATCACTTACATTTTTTCTTTTTTAAGATTAAATTCCTATCTTATAAAACATTAAAAAAAAAATATGTTTGTTTATGGATAAAAATACTGAGAAACTTATGAATATGATTTTTATACAGTACTTTATTATATGTACTGTCTAGTAGGAAGTATTTTCTTGTAATATTAGTATGATATATATTATTAAGTATATTTTAATAAGTAACATAACTATACGTTATTAATGATGATTTATAATTCGACGAGACTTATTCAGATAATATTTTTGGACGGCCTACTAATGCAGTAATTTTAAATATTTAATATTTTCTGTGAGAGAGAGAGTACTACAAAATTGAAATTCCCGCTATTGTATATATACTTACTCGCATGTAACTTTCTAATTTACGAATTTAATCTTTACAATTATTACTTCTTTAAATGAAATTACTCAGAAATATTTGTTATCATCTTCATTAATGGTAAAATAATGTCATTGATATCTAGAAAAATTGTCGTGGGTATCTATAAAAAGTATTTTACTAATACGTTTATAGATATATACAAATAAAAATACACCTGTACCGTTTTAATAATCTAACATTTAATCAATGTTTAATATTTTATATAATACCTTAATTTTAGAGACTCTAATATTTAACGTTTGTAAAATTAATTTTATATTGTTCAATGTTTCAATATTTTTAATAGGTATAAATTATAAATACTGTATTAAAATTGCTACATTAAAAGAAGATAAATTATTGATAATGTATTAGCGATGTTTAAACAACTGTATTGTAGCAATTATTGATATTATATTAACATATTTCGTCATATGTTAACTAAATGAATTCATAATTTGATTATCTATATTAAACCTATATTAAATTATATATATATATATATATATATATAAAATTATCATAAAGTTACAAGAGTATTATTCTAAATTAGATTATAATTAATAGTTATGCTAATTTTAAACATGAATAATTCAAATATAAATAAGTAATTATATATTAACTCTTGACTACATGTTTATTTGTCAAAAGCAGCACCTTTTATATCAATAATGATAAATGGAGAAATTTTAGTGCCAGAATAAGTACATAGAGTTAATAAGCCTAAATATATGGTAACTAATAGTAATTAAATATTCTCATTTCGAATAGTTTGACATTAGTATTGTTAATAGTAATTTATTTATCGATGCTTAATAGCACTAATTTCTTACTAATATAAGGACTAATATAAAAATATAAATAGCATCTGCAACATGGCTGCATATTTGATTGTATATCTTTTTTTCAAGGATTATCATTTGTTACACTAATAACAATTGGCTTAAAATAATCTTTCTTCTTTCAAATGGTGTTTGAACACAGTTGATATCCTTTTTATTCTTACTTAAACTCGTTTTTATATTGTAAACAATTCAATAATATTTTACTGTTCCTTTAAATGTTCAAATTTTCTTGAATCATCCCTGAGCATATAATTGCTGTCTTTTTCTACTTTTTTAACATCAATATCTTTCCTGTACATCTAATTTCACCTTAATCTTTCTAAATGATCAATTATGTCCTAAATGTTTCATCTTGTGATTCACTTTCAGTTTCACCGTTACATATATGTACAGAATCTGAAATACTTCCACCTAAAACATATGATATAATCCATAGATAAGAGTCAATAATTAAAATTTAAATTAGCCTATAAAAGGTAAAAACAAGATTATAATTTTTACACATTATTAAACAATAATACAATCTTAAAAACACATGTTATATCGTTCTAGATAAATTTGGGAATGAAGAAATTATTGTTAGGTAAATTTCTTCAATTAATACAATAATTTCAACGAGGACAATAAACTCTTCATCTATATATTTTCTTTTTTGTGATTTATTTTTTAATTTTACTCCCTTTAAACATACTTCGCATGCATAACATTAATATAATTGAATTAAAGCATTACTTTTTAAACTATACACATATGCACATTTCTCAAAACTAATATTTGTGAAAAAAAAAATAATGCATTACAATTAACTATCTAAGTGCACACAATCAAAATTAATTAATATTTTGCACACAATAGAATAACATACTCAAATGCAATATTATATTTCATATAGTGTATATATTACTAAAATATATGTGATTATAAGTAAAGTAAATAAAACAAAATTGTAAACAACATCTCCAATATAGTAAAAATATTATTTATCACTTCGAGCACGTGATTTACATGTAATATGTTTCAAATTTGTGTTGTTTAAATGTAAATTGTCTTCTGATAATAGAAAAGCACCATAGTTTTATGAAATGTTAGTGTGATGAAAGCTTCCCATGCTGCATCATTCTAAATGAATTATTGAAGTAATGTATAAAAAAAAGAAACAAAATTTAAATGAAACAACAAACGCATAACCTTTAAAATAAAATTTAAATAATAAAGTTAATAATATAAGTATGATTGTATGATGAAAAAAAAACAAATTAAACTGATAATCAATTTAATCTAATAGATAATGCAACATTCAGAAATTTTTCATATTTGAAGCTTTTTTCTACTATTTTAAAAACAACATTAAAGCTGCATATATTTAAATACAATTATTTGTTGTATTAGCATTGCAAATTTCAAATTATTTCAAAACGATTTCTTTTTTTCCCATGCAAAAACAAATTCTATAAGTAATATCCTTGTGATAATATCCTAGAAATTATATAGATTTGTTATTTCTTGATCAAAGCATAACAAAAAATTTATTAACAAGAAGAATCTTTTCTGAAAGGAAATTGGCAGGATCTAATTACACTTATCAATTTATAATGTGGTGGTTGCATATAGAGAATAGATTGTTCAAGTGTTCATAAATAAATATTATCTACAGAAGCTGTTTTAAAAAAAAATGGAAATATTTTATATTTATCTAGTGTTAATATATAAATATTTAAAAAAAATATATTGAATTATTTTTCACAACAAAATTGTAAACAGCGCTGTATATCTATGGCATATAATACTTGTTCGTTTCTTATTAAATGTGGCTGTAATATTATATTAATGTAAAAAATTTCTTTTTCAAGAGTTATCATTAATAAGCTTTGATAATGAAAGAAAATATGCATAAAAATTAAATTGATTATCATGTTCAAATAAAATAAACCAAAAGTTGTGAAAGTAAATTATGTACCAGATACACAGCACATTATCAGATGTGGCCCATTAAAGACGATGACCTATAAACGTGTTGTTGCAGCTTGCCCATTATTCTTAGTATCTAGATATTTGTCTGCAAGAAAGATGTTTGCATATTACACAAAATAATGTCATGCACATTCCACACATTAACTGTGCAAGATAATATATCTGCTAAAAAATATAAAACAATGCACCATCATCACCCACTATACTTGTAGTTCGTTATATAATTATTAGATTACTATTTTTTTAATTGTTTTTACATTTAAGTTAATTTAAATAAGTATTATGATTCCAATAAATAATTAAATAGTAATTTAGACATATGTGTAGTGTACAAAAGTTAAATAAATTTATGCTACGATGAAAAATATTATATTAATAATTAAAATGAAATGTTTTGTTTTACATAAAAGTAAATGATGATGAATAATTTTTGAATTGTTAGTAATAATAATAAACTATAAATATCAAACCAAAAAGACACATACACAAAACATTGCATGATACTATATCACCATTCCCATATATAGTATTGCAATATATAAACGGCTACTTGTTTACTACATTAACAGATGCAATTGTGCTTGAAGTGCCGGCGGCTAAAAAGAATAAAAAGTCATGCATACCCATTAATCCACATTATTTAAATTTAATTTAAATAGGATAGTACAAACACCTAGATAGTATAATTTACATCTACATGCAATAATGTTTGGAAAATTATAGTAGCATCTACTTTTTCTTGATTGTAAACATAAATCAAAAAGCAATAATGCAAAAGATTATAAATATATGAAGATCATAGATCCTTAAGAAAATATTCTGTTCATTCTCTTCTCTCTTCTCTCTCTGTTGTTATAATTCGAATAAAAGTTCATAAGTCTCTAATAATGAAGTTAAATTGAAATATGCAATAAACTTCATAACAGAGACGAAAGAGGTGATAAGAGTAAAGTAGAATTATACAAAATATAAGAAATATTTTCACTTACTTGTAATAGTAAGTAATTCAACCAACGCTCTGTCTTTCTCTATGTATAGAGCAGTGAAAAAGAAGAACAAGGCTCCAAGAACTTGCACAAAAATAGTAATAAATAGTGCATATTGTAAACTACGAAATTCTACAATATCACTGTAAACTTTGGGAACATCACTGGCAGAACCACCTAAACTCAGATCTGGTAGAATAACTACTTTTAGCCCTTCTGATATCTGAAAAAAGTTTCGATTAATAAATTGTCACAAAAATAAATAAATAAATGAATATAAATAAGAAACATCATATCTCAACTTACTAGACCTATAAGGTAAGGACTTCCAGCATCTCCAAAAGCATGTGCAAATAATATTTGAAAAGCTTCTGCCGTAGATCTTCTAGTTGGTATTACTACATACTGGAAAATTATATTACATACTCTTCTTAATAAATAGTGATACATATTAAATAATGTAAAGTTAAATATTATCTGTAACATAATACTCACAAGCAACATGTCTGCTACAATAGCCCAATTTAAATTTAAAGCTACTTGTCCTAAAAATATTAATACATAACAAAGAGTAGCATTAGTATTAGCGGTAATTGTTGCAAAAAATATTAATGGAGCGCTTATTAATAGACCGGTAGCACATATCAATGGGTCTATAGTTGTCCAACGTAATCGAAGTTTTTGTGCTAAAAAAGATCCTAAAGGTACTCCTATTATCCCAGACATCATTCCTATTAATCCAAATTTATAATCCACACTGAAAGCATACACGCAATACATTAACACATCAAAAAATGTATTAATAATTTATAGGTCAAATTTTGTTATCTTACTTAAGTGAATCTACATCAGATCCAATTAATTTAAATCCTAGTTGCAAATATGTTGGTGCCCACCAAGATAATGCGCCAGCAACAAACGACACACATGTAAACCCAGCTGTAGAAAGTGTAAAACTTGGACTAAAAAAAACATTATAAATAAACAATAATTTACGCAATCAATTTGACAAAAAATTAAAATGTTTTGGATTTTCATTGTGGCTTATATTATTAACTTACTTCTTCATTAAAGCTTTCACATCTTGTAACCATGCCGTATTAGTAATATGCATACCACCTTCTCTTTCACCTCTAACAGGTTCTCTTACTCCAATAAGTAATAGTATAATTGCTATTATCCCTAATACAGGTGTGACACGTAAACCCCATTGCCATGAACCTGTTACTTTTGACATTTCTCCTCCGATAATATAACCCATTCCACTGAAAAAGAAGATAAAAATTTATTATTTTCATTCTTTTTTATATTCTATTTTTTAAAATTTCTGAATATGTCAAGAATTACCTTCCAACGGGTATTGCAAAGTAGAACAATGCGAGCATTTTGGAACGAACATCATCAATAAATAAATCACTAATTAATGTTGGTGCAATTGTTGAATAACTAGCTTCTCCTATGCCAACCATTGCTCTGAATATTAAAAATGTCTCAAATGTCTGAAAAAATTTCATATACAACGGGTAAAATTATTACATTAACTTAATTTAAAAATAAATATTAGTGAGACTGCTTATACAAATATGAAAAGATTTTTATCTTTTTATATTTACGTACTACAGTTTGAATTGATTAAATGTATTACCGTCATAAAAGATCCAATAAATGTTGTAAGACTCCATAGGAAGACACCTATACCCATAATGGCTTTACGATTATACCTATCACCAAGATATCCAAACAATGGTGCGAATATCATATAACTTATTATAAATGCTGTCTGTAATAAGCCAGACTTATCGTAACCAATATTAAAGTCATCCTTGATTTTTGTTAACATTCCTATTAATGTACACAAGTGTTTATAAAATTTAATAATAAAAAAACAAAAACATATTGTAGATCATAAGTGCATGTAAAGATGTTAAGATAATTTATAAACATGAAAATGAGCATAGAAAATGTTAATAATTACCAGCGACAGTAAAACGGTCCATATAATTTATTAAATTAATAAAGCATAATATTGATACAGAGATCAATTCACTGAGTCTGACTTCTCTTAAGTTAAACGGCATTTTTAATTATGCTTTCTTAGGATTTGAATTTTTTATTAATATCAAATATTATTATGATTCATTTGGTATATCTCTGCTTTAATCACTCGATGCATTCACTTCATACACAATGTGTACAATTTTTCCCAAGCTGATTTGTACTCAAATTATTGTTTGTGATTTTATAATATAACCTCTTGTTGGGCTTTTAACTAATTTCAATAGTTAAGTTATATAGCTCCGTTAGTTAAGTTTACGAGAATGTAACCTAAAGTCACTATCGTATTTGCCTAATAATACCAATTTTCGTACGATAAATTTTAAAACAAACATTTCGTCATCTATTAGGATGATTTATTTTTCTGTTTACATGTATATGTAAGAGTGCATTTTGCACTACTACCTGTACATTTTAAATATAGCAATGCACTTTGTCTACTAAAGTAAAATTACATATGACTATGATTACAATGAACTTTATTTGAAGATTTTTGTATATATATTATTTATATTTATTATATACACATAAAAAATATGTTATTATAATAAATTAATTATTATTATATAAATACATAAATAACATTTATTATTTTAGTGTTGCATTTTTCTTAAAAAACAATTATTTAGTTCAAATTTAGCGCAACTTATATTCTACGTATAAATCTTAAGATGGCGTGGTTACTTCGGTAGATGGCGTAAAATATCATTCAGAAAAATATATTACACTGGCTTTAATTCATCCCGATAAGCGTCAATGGGCGTTGTCTATTAAAATTTGGCATTAAAGTTTTTTATTTATCATTAAGTCAAAATGTGGCCAGGCTACGTGTTTTTAATATTTATGTTTATCTGTATTTGTATCAATGGTATTGATGAAATATTCATTTTTATTAAAAAGTTTAGATAATAATTTAAATTTAAGTTGTTTAACACTTTTGATATTTATTTTAATCATTTATATTATAATATAGTTTATAATTCATAAGTATAATATTTTTATGTTAATAACAAACAGGTAGTAAAATGTATTATAAATCTACTAATAAATCTTGTATTTATTCATTTTATAGTTCACAGTAAAATGAGAATACTTTATTTATAGGATTGAAAGTGAATAATACGATGACATGGTGCACCGTTTCTGATGGCGAACAAAATAAATGTGAAGCTTTCTCAAATGCAGTTGCTCGTGATATTACTTTCTTTGGAAGTACCTATCTTATATTGAAGTGCAAACAAGCATTTAATAAGGAAGAATGTATGTCAATGTTGGATCAAGAAAAAGCTGAAATGACAACATTAGATGCAGGAGAAGTATTTTTAGCAGGGCGTTATCATAGTTTGGTTCCCATTATGCAAGAAATATATGAAAGTGGTGTTAATTATCAATATACTGTGGCTGTTATTAAGAAAGGGTCTTTACCAGATGTAGAAACGTTAGAAAATCTTAGGGGAAAAAGAGCATGCTTTGCAAGCGTTGGTACACTTGCCAGTTGGATTATTCCTATTCTTACGGTAAGTAAAATCTGATATAAAAAAATGTCAATTTTATATTATATGTATTTTAAATATATTATATTAATTTTATGTATTGTATGTTTATATTTATGCAATTCATTATAGATAAAACATGAATGTATTTGTTTCAGTTAATGAAGCAAGGTGGGATGGAAATCATTGATTGTAATAATCATGTAAAATCTGCAATTAAATATTTTGGACCAAGTTGTGCGGTAAACTCATTGATAGATAAATATAATCCTTTAGGTACGTATCTAAAATATAAATTAAAATATATGTAAATGGGGGGATTAAACAATGATCTATATATTCTAGGCGATAACTCGGACCAGTTATGCAAACTTTGTATTGGAAAACCACCAACTGATAAATGCACAAATGCAGATCCTTACGCGGGATATGAAGGCGCTTTTCGTTGCTTAGTAAATGCTGGAGAGATTGCATTTTTAGTTCATACAACTGTACAAGAAATGACATCATCTACATTTGAATTCAGTAAGTGTGTACATAAATTTGCCTCATCAATGGATAATAAGTTATTAATATTACCTCTGTTTTTTTTTAATAGATAATATTACGAAAGATCAATTTGAATTATTATGCAAGGATGGGACTCGAAAATCAATAAACGAATACAAGACTTGTAATTGGGGTACTGTTCCTTCTCGTGCGGTGGTAACATCTTCTGTAACGAAAAGCGAAATTCGTAGATTATATCAAAAATTTCTCGAAAAAGCAGTTAAAATATTAAACAAAAACAAAAGGAATGATCCAACCGATATTTATAATAATCGTTTTGACAATCGACAAGGTGATTTTGAAAATAGATTAGGATACGAAGATAGATATAGAGAAAATGATTTTGGATATGATAATCGAAATGAGTACAATACAGACAACCTTAATGACTACAATAGAAGTTACGATGACAACTACGCAAACTCGAATACTTGGAATAGGGAACACAATAACACGAATAATAATTATCCAATCAACGATTATTCTGAAACGACAAATATTCAACCGATCGAGACATTTGATTTATTTGAATCGGCTCCAAAATATGGCATTCATCATAATTTAATATTTTCGGTACTAATTATATTTTTAAATAATTATCATGCATTTTCAATTATTTTATGTATTTATGGTTGTGTCTGTACTTATAGGATTCAGCTAAAGATTTTGTACCACTTTCTGAAAAAGATCAAACGTATACAGGATATTTAGGTAGATCATTAGATTCTATTTTAGGAGTACGTCAATGTCCTGTCAATAGGATGACATTGTGCGTTACATCCGATCCCGAAATGGAGAAGTGTATAAAGATGAAGGTAATTTTCATTTTTAGATTACTACTATTATAAATCAATTAATAGACCACACAATAAAATGGGTAAATAAGAATCTTTAATTAAAATACTGCTGATTATTTTATAGATTGCTTTGAAAGCACAACTCCTGAAACCAGAATTATTGTGCCACAAGGCATATAGTCAAATAAATTGTATGCAAGCAATACAAAATGGGTATGTATGACAAGTTAATAAATGATTAAATATAGTGCATAAAATAACAGATGATACATTAAATTGTATATTAATTTTAGAATCGCAGATGTAACAGTTTTAGATGCCAGCGATGTATATACCGCTGGTTTGCGTTTTGAATTAATTCCTTTCATATCCGAAGTATATAATCTTGGTACACCGGATTATTACGTAGTTGCTGTTGCGAAGGAAGAGGATGATAATACAGACTTAACATATCTCAAAAACAAATATACCTGCCATACTGGAATTAATACTGCAGCAGGATGGGTTTATCCATTGGCGTATCTTCTCTCAAATCAATGGATTAGAGGCTACGGTTGCAATTCCGTACGCGCAGCCGCTGAATATTTCACTAAATCATGTGTTCCAGGTGCGCTAAGTCCTGAGTACAATACAGGTAAGTTTTTGAAGTTATACACTTGTATATAATAATCATTTTGATGTAATATTATGTATTTCAATTAATTGATTAATCATTAACTTTGTATATCTTTTAATTTCAGGTGTTCCATATGATAATATGTGTGACTTGTGTCATGGAACAAGTAACAAATATTGTCGAAGAGATGCTTCGGAAGATTACTATGGGTATACTGGTGCCTTTAGATGTTTGGTTGAAGGAGGTGGTGATGTAGCATTCGTCAAACATACAACGGTTGCTGAAAACACTGATGGTAAAAGAAGAGAATTTTGGGCACGTAATACATTTACGAAAGATTTTGAATTACTTTGTCCTGATGGTACTCGTCGACCAACTACAGAATATGAACATTGTAATTTAGGAAAAGTAGCAGCTAATGCTATAGTCACACGTGGGGGTTATTACGGTTACAATGAGACGCAAATCAATGCTTATATAAATCTTTTTATTTATGCACAGCAATTGTATGGTAGAAAGGATCCAGATGAGTTTAGTTTCAGTATGTTCTACAGCATTCCTCCGTATAGTGATCTTATTTTCCAGGATGCAACTCAACAATTAGTTATTATTCCACCCGAAAAAAGACAATTTAGCGCATATCTTGGACGAGATTTTATGAGAGCTAGAAGAATCGTAGATTGTAATGCTGGAGCAGCTTCTTTAGGACATTCCATAATCGCTACGTTATTAATGCTTATCTTAACTTGCTGGATAAGAGATTTAAATACTTAATTTTTATACGCGATCGTGAATTAATTGAATCTCGTATCTTCCAAAAGTATATTCAAATATTACGTGTTAATAGATAAATCTCTCGTGTTCATCTAATATAGGCGTAAAAAGTACAATCAACTATTAGTCATCGAATAGGATGACTATTTTGTAGATTTTAAAAGTTTTTATATTTTATAATTTTTTTTACCGTAGGTAATATATGCCTTATTACTTTAAGATAACCGATATCGATTACTATATGATCAATATTAAATCCGTCCATTTAAAAAAAATATATATATGTATAGATATATAAATATAGGTATTATATATATATATATATATAGTATACACACATATGTATATATATATTTTCTAAGATCACGTGGTTGCGGTAATCACGACCATCTTATGTTAGTACATAGACATTTTATATAACATTATCTATTAACGTAGATAGATATTAATTAATATTTGAAATGAATACAAAAGGAAGATAAACTTGTTGATCTTCGAAAGAAACGAAGCCGTCCATTTTTTATATGAAATGATTTTTATTTATTTTTAGATAAGTATAATATATTTTCATAATAATGTCATTCTTATAATGAACAATAGGTATTTTAAAAAGAAAAGATAAAATATTTACAACCCTTCGATTTTATTGTATCGAAATAAATTATGATTACCCTGGCCAGGAATTAATTGATTTTAAATTAGGCGATATTGTTGAGTAATCGGAAACAGTGACTGTGTTCTTCGTGACCGAAGCAATTATCGTCGAGGATATTATTCAAATTGCGTTTCTCAACGATAACTGGGCATCGGCGAAGCTTCGAGATCGCGGCAGGTAATATCCGTTGCCGTCTGTCCAGGATATTACTTAAGACTCCTGATGGTTTCTAACTATGTCGTGCGAAAATTCAAATCGATTTGTATTAGTCAGTCAACGTGTGTCCATTTCAGTTAATTTATTAAACTAATTATAATCCTAATTCCAATTGGATTACAATCTAAATAAAAGATCTGCACTTCAAAAAGAAATTTTTTATTTTTAAGATAATTATATTAACCTTTTTATTGTATATTTTTCAATAAAGTTGAAAAATATTAAATACATTCGACATATTTTATTCTTAAGTATAACGCCTATATGTTTCTTAACAGAAAAAAATCGACGTCAGAAATTATAAGCTATGTTAGGTTGTGCTTCATTTTGATATTATTACAAAGTATATGATGTAACAATAAATAATAGAACGAAACTTCATGAGGAAATCCGATTTCACGTTTATTCGCGATTTCGTCCGAAATATTTCACGATTAGATAGAAAACTATGAGTAAAGTAACTTTTAACTATTTGCAACACCTCATACTACTTTCGAATGACAATCAATCACATACGTCCTATTGATTTTTCTTTTTTATTTTCTTGTAATTTTACGGTCTTCGATCATCGGTTGTGATCGTTGTTGTTATGGTAGAAAAGTTCGTACAACGATCCTCTTATAAACATAATTTTGAAAGACTTCTTTGAATGCACATATGGGACATTGAAATTACATAGTTTCATGGTTCTTTCTTACAAATTATAACGTAGATAAGACACGTTTGTAAAATGTCAAAGTATACAAATTATCTTTTCGTTAAGTTTCGTAATTAAGTTTAATCGATGTCCGATATTACTTTGCTTTCGCTCAATCGATGTATGTCACTGTTTGTTCGTAGATTATAATTTTTTACTAGAAATTTCAAATTATGTTTATTGAAGAAAGATGCGCCTGTACGATGGCAACCACGTCTGACTTAGAGAGGACTTCGAATTCGTTCGAGAAAAGAGGAGGTCATTTAATCGTACAAGAAATTTTCTTGCAATGTTTTTTCTTCATTTTTTGTTCTTTAAGAAAACGGAATGTATGTATAAATGTATGATTTTATTCTTTTCAAGAAAATTGAAGATTATTAGGTGAATTTGATACATTTTACGCTTAAAGAATTCATTTGATTTTCAAGGAAATCTTTTTTTTTTTTTATCCTTTCGTGCTAAGAAATTACAAGGAGAATAAAGCAGTAGTTTACGTATAAGAGAAAAATCATGTTCGTCTTTCTTGCTCGTATTTTTCTAAGCACGCATTATTGTACAGTAGATTCTGAGTTAGAGATAGTAAAAGCGAATGGATCGAGGAGAATGTTGGACCGCGAAGAGGCGTTCTTTAGAAAATACAAATGAAAAGAGCTCTGGATATTCGAGATCGAATCAAGAACAAAGTATGAGAATATATGTTGCGCGAATGTATTTATGTATATAGGTATATATCGAGAGTGAACGTGGACTTTTAGCGCTTCCATCGGAATTATTATTCCGTGTTGCGTTCTGCACGCACCTCTTATTTACATAATCTTCCGATCGTTCGTAGAAATTAGATGCGCGCCTACTATGTTGAACGCTATCCCGCTGTGGAATCATTCGAGGGGTAGATCCATACATGCGAGTTATATATGCTAAAAGATGGAGAGAAAGAGAGAGAGAGAGAGATGAAAAGGATTTAATACGCCGATTATTGGAATTAATTTGAGACAAGAATGACTTGGATAATTAGATTAAGAAAGGGTTTTATATTAAAGAGAAAATAGCGCTACAATATCATTATGATATACGAATTTTGTATACTTTCTTGTATTTTTATTTGTATGTATTTTAAAGAGAGGGACAGAGGAAAAGATAAGAACGATTTAGTACACCGATTATATTGGAATTAATTTGTGACAGGAGTAACACTCGGATAATTAGATTAAATAAGAGTTTAATATTGAAGAAAAATAGCATTATAACGTCAATATGATGTACTTATTCTTTATGTTCTTTAATATTTCCTTTTGATGTATTTCAAAGAGAGTGTGAGAGAGAGAAAGAAATCAAAAGAATCATAATTGTCGTAGATTGTTGTGGTATAGTGAACATAGACTCCTACTTATCTATGTATGCACATATATACGTACATACTTACAATAGAGAATGCTAATTAATGGCGCATGTACAGGAAATGTATCTCGCCCCCTTTCTTCTGATTTTTTTTCTAACACGGAAATCTTTCGATGTCTATGAACGTTAGCAGTTATTCTAATTAATCGGAAACAAAGAGGGTCTACGAGAGAAACATAACTGGTCTTACGTGTAAAAGTTAGGATCGTTACTACGGAAGAGGTCCATTTGCCTCTCTCGGTAACACTCGACTCTGAATCGAAAACACGAAGGATGCTAATTAACGAGGAGCCTAAGGAAAATTTATTCCACCTCTCTGATCCTCCGTTGAGCTCGATTTTTAATCAAACCCTTTGCACGTGAACGTCTTGTAGGTATCTTTACCAGTGTGCCTTCCCTCCCACTCCCCACTTCCTCAGACTTTCGATTCGGCGAGAACCCAAGAGAGAAGCGACGTGTACTGTGAACGAACCGATATATCGCGCATGATGCATCGTGTATGAATATTTAGGCTCGTCCTGTCTTTTATACATTTTTTTTTCTTTCTTTCGTAATACCAGCTACAACGTATCTTCGAGACGAGCGTGTTAGTGCTAATAAAAATCATCCTAAGAAGCAGATCGTTACCGTGTGCATCTTTTTTTTTTTCCTTCATATGACATCGAACTCAGTCTTTCGAGGAACGAGCAACATACACCGATATACACACTGGACATTGTAAGAGCTTAAGGGCAGTTACTCGTAGTTCATATCGTCAACGTTCCGTTGGAACGAGGTACGGGCTCGTAAATCTGAAAAGAGTTATGGCATATTTTGCAACCAATTTGAAGTAATAAATTTGGTCCTCTGGAGAATACCCCAGTACCCTGTAATATGAGAGAGCCGCTAATGTCCCTTCATTTATTCGTGAATATTTCCAATGCGAGGGAGAGAGAAAGAAAAATAGTTAAAAGAATGCAATTCTTTCTCAAATGAATTTTAATCTGGCAATTTTTCGGTGGTCCACTTGAAAATAATGTCATTTTTAAATATTCATTCTTATTTGGAATAAGTCATCTGCTAATAGCGTTATTTATAAAGCATGAAGTTATTTAATTAAGAGACCCGAGTTTTCTTGTTTTAATGTTGTGAACTAATTGTACCTACGTGATTTTATCTGTTCGTTGGTCTTCGTTTTACATATAATAAGTTTGCTCATCGTTGGAGAACGATGTAACGCGGTGGAGTAATCGGTAAAAGTGTCGATTTCTCGCTCGGCCACGACTAAGCTTCACCTTCGAATCTAACTTCGAACCAGTAGAACCGGATTTCGTTTGAATATGTCTCTCTCTCTTGGACCTCAAAAAGGAAACAAAAAAGGAAACCAAAAAAAAGAAATAAAAGATGCTTGTAAAAAAGCATAGAATTCTCCCAAGTGAATGTTGTACGTTGGGGTGTAAGTTTAGTTTTTGTTCTGTTATCGTAGATACGCGAAGTGTATAATACATAAAAAAAAACTTTCATTTCACGAAAGTATTAGTCATTTTTTAAGAAATCTTATTTACGACTTATCTAGTTTAACCTAGTACGCGCGAAAAGATGATCTCAATTTTTCATCTGGCGTAGTCAAGAAATAAGTATACGATTAGAACGTTAGGGACTGAAAGCAACAAAGGCTTCGAGATTACTAGTACGTGAGAAATATAAACAACGAGCCGCCTTGTTTTCTCATTAGCGGCAGGATATTTCTTGCCAATCTACAGCGATCTTAACGTTTCTGTGAAAATCTTACTACAGAAGGTATATTCTTGACGACGAATGGATGGCTGGTTTTAAAATTAGCGAAAGTTCGACTTATTAAAGGCACAATTTCGAATATTGTTAATACATTGTATGTGAGATATTTTTGATTTAACTGCAATCGAATAAATTTTTCAAAAAATCTTTTATATATTTTAATCGTTTTAATTTATTACATTTTATATAATATGTATAATTATATAATAATATTATTAATAATAAGATTTTATATCGTGATACGCTCAAGATATGCCTTCTCGTATAAGCCAACAATACATAAGAGACATACCCTGCAAAGAATATACGAAAAACGTATTAATACTTGTTTTGCATAAAATGTGTTAAAATTGATGCTGACCATGGTATCGATATTCGTATTATTTATGTCCTTTTTCATTTCTTAAAATTTGACAAAATCTTCTTGTCTTCCTCGTGTTTATATTATTTCGATCATGCTTAATAATGAATCTCAGAAAGAATAACAATCGCATTCGAATTATGATCGATCTGACAATGAGATTGGTTCGTGATATGTGCACTGGCTGTTCATTTCCTCGTTGGGGTGAAAAACCGCGATATTTGCGGGAGTCAAAGATATAGAGTTCAGGAGAGAGAGGTAAAAAGGAGGAGGGTGGTGGGCGTTATACCGATCGCTGGCCATTATTCTCCGTCATCGGTGTGTCGATAATTTTTAAGCTCAGCATAGTTCAGAATCCTTCGGAATACTGACAAGAAGTTGCACCGGCATCGGACAAAGGCGTCAATACAAAATCTCGTAGTTTGTCGATTTAATTTCCCATAAGACTTTCATGGGACGACTACGCCAATGGTTTTGTGTCTCGTAACGGGCCTTTCGAAGCACGCTCCGCTGCTCGCGCGTAAGTACTCCAAACTCATCGCTTCCTGCACCAACGGCTTTTTTCTATCTTTCCTTTTCTTCCTCTTCTCCTTTCTCTACCTCTATCTTTTTATTTTCTTCTTATTATATCTCATTTATATGTTATCTTAACAAAGAAATTGTAGATAGTTAACAGTTTTGTCAACAGGACGACTCATATATTGAACCAACAAAGTTCTTCACATTTTAGACTTTGGCATCACTAATATTAAACTATACTCATATTCTAACGATAGAATTACTCGAATCTACTTCTGATCATATGACAATATTATTTAGAAATTTTCACCACTACTAACCACGAACAAAATACGTAATAAAAAAGAAAGTGCATTAATTAATTGCACTGTTATATTAAATGAATTTAACCGATGAGACAAGAAAACCTATCCTGAACTAATATCATAAAACATACAATACAATATACACAATGCAATTATACAATTTTCATGAGTAACTCCTAGAAAGGAATTACTCATGTGCTCGTCACTAATTTATTGGAATAATTACAACCAGTAACTCGTGCCGATTAGGACCTTTCATCCTCGACATGATTGAGCACCGGAGGGACTTTAAATTTTTTTACTCACTCTGTAAGAAGTTCTACGATGGCTCCAAAACACTCCTACTTTGCAGCACAAGTATTGAAGAATATCTATCGAAGATCCATCGAAGATCCATCGAAGAATTCATCCCACAGCTTTGACAAGGTAGAAAGTCCGTTGCCTGTAAAATAAAATAGAACAAAATGATAAGTCACATGTAATATGATTCAAAATCATATCAAACAAAAACGAATAAAATGTTAATAAAAATGAATACTTACAATGCATTCCAATGGGATGCAGCTCAATTGCACCATGGCGATACACCTCGCGTGAATCTAATGACGCGGTATAAACGAAAATAAGAAACTATCGATGAGTTTCTTATCGCGAAACCGAAATTAAATTATACGGCGAACAACACTGACTCTAATTCGCGTTTGATTTTAAATTATTGTGCACCCGATCACTGACTCTACAACTGCTTCCAAAGACTGCTTTGCACACAGTCAATGCAAGTATCAAAATCTTCATTGATGCACTGACTCTAATACGCGAACAGTCTGTGCGACTGTTTAAAGATAAAAATGCAACTTTACTCGAACAAACTCTAATGCAATTACTACATTGGTCGCAGTTAATTTAATATACAAATCTCAAAAATAGCTCGTAAACGCGACGGAATTGAAATTAACGAACGAACATGCTTCTAATCCGCGATTTTAATTATATATTTAAGCGATACAACACTCCCGTATATTGCTTCGCGCACGATTGCAATCTGAAACAGAAATAAAAAAACAATACTATTAATATCATTACTATTACTAAAAACCATTAAAATGTTTGTGGAATTATGAAATACAAAAATATACTCACTTCGAATCTTCATCGATGAATGCACGATGGGTTTCCTACCCTTAGGATGACGATGAGCACACGTTTAAACCGAATAAATAAAAGAAACTTACGGAGTTTCTTTACCCGAAAAAACGAAACTTTTACATACGGCGAACAACACTGACTCTAATTTCCGATTTTTATTTAACGATGCAAACATTCGTGTATCTCATTGCCTACGCGCTCGATTGCAATGATGTTCTGAAACAGAAAAAGAACAAGAACAATTAATATCATCGCTATAATAAAAATCCATTAAAGTTATTATAGAAATATTTGATAAAAAAATATACTTACTGTTAGTCTTCATTGATGACTGCAGGATGGGTTTCCTACCCTTAGGATGACGATGAATAAAATAAAATAAAATAAAAAAATCTGTAAAAAAAGCTGAAACATTAATGTTAGAATGGAATTAATGTTAGATATAAAAAGTTGTGTCTAATCAGCGCAGTTGTCGAATGTTTTAATTAGATAACACGTTAGAAATAAAATTATTAAGTAGTTTAACACATAACGTTCGCGTTAGATCTTAACTAGTTGAAGGACGGAAGGGGAATGAGGTACGTTACTGTTTATCCTTCGTCGAACGTTCGACTGTTGTCGTTTTGTTTTCGGCAGTTATCAAACAAATATAAGTACGTTACAAATAATGAAGAGAATAAAAACAACATACACTAAAAACTATATCAAATCGTACAGAAAAACACAATCGTATAGACAAGAAACCTCGTTGCAGATATTTTTAAAACAATTGACATAAAGCACTGTAACCGTCCTTAAAGAATTAAAATAAATTGAAATAAAACAATGATATCTCTCATGCGAACTATGAAAGTATAAATTTCCATATTCTGTGTATCGATATGGAAAAATTCTTGTTATTTTAGATTAAAGCTCAAGGGGTTAATGAATTTAAATGGAACGTAATTAGTTTATTAAATAAATACAGTATTTATTTTATTGAAATAAATCAAATTGATTTACAACAGATAGATATTTTATCATAAAAAAGAAAAATATATATATTATATTAACGTATGATCGCGCACGTGTTTTCAGGGTAGTACAGTTGGTGGGGGGTTGCGTGAATGAAAAGCTCGATCGGGAAAGCGGGGAGGGAGAGTGATCTAGAGTCGTACAGCGAGAGGTCGAAAGATGGCACGGTAATCGCGCGGCGCCAGCTTGAAACACCTGACGATCGACTTAACAGTGCAGCATGGACTCGGCTGGCAGGCACACACTTCTTTCAAAGAAAACAGGTGCCAACGGCGAACGTGCTGTCGAGTACCGTTGTCGGATCGCACGCGAGTGAGACACACAATAGTGGTGTAACAATAAAAAACGAAATATCCTAAGAAAATATCCTTATCCCCAAAGCTTATTGAGGCACCCACCCTTTACGTGAATGCGATTCACGAACGATTATTTGTTTGGAAACGATGACAAGAAATACAAAATAGACAAACATTGCAACCGTAACAATTAGAAAACACTTCAATATTTTCAATAATAATCGTTATTCGCAAAAATATCATTCCGTCCATGCGAAGAATCGGAAAGGTTAGTCGCGAGTTCAAACTTCCCGCGCGTCATTTCTTCCCTTCCCGCCCTTCCATTCAGCGTACGCGTCGATCAAGTATATAAAACGTAAGGGCCCGCGAGTAGCCGCACGCGACACGACAAAGATGTGACGCAATTTGGACGTTCCTTTTACCGGCCCTTTCGGAAGTGAGCGCGGAAAGAGGAAGAGCGAGATATAGAATCAATTTTTACTTTTCCTTTTTTTTTTTCTTTCCTAAAAGTAAATAAAAATGACAGCGAAACGTTTATCGATAATGAAGGTATTATTTCTTTTGACGATTTTTATACTTGAGCTGATCTACGCCAAGGATGGATCGACATTGGAATACGAGGATTTTCTTACAACCACCGAGAGCTACGTTCATCTTCGCGTCGACAGAGGTTAGTCCATTTTTTTCAATTGTCATTTTCAAAATTGTATTTATCATATTCTCATATTTATATAACATATTAAGTATTCAATCTTTTTAGTGGGCAAATTAATTTACCAAAAGTGCAAACGTCTGTAATGTAATTACGGTAAAAACGCAAAGTAACAATTTAACAATAGGAATTTAAAGTATATATGTATTCATCAATAAAAATAAGCATAGAAAAGCAAATGGTCGATTTCCAAGTATTATGATGAGTTAACTCGTCATCTCTAGTTTTGGAAGGTTTGAATAGGAAAGCATTACTGAAAAAAAAAAGAAAATAAAAAAAAGAACGAATTATCGTATTGCAATGATTATTTTCTATCTTTAGAAAGAATAAGACGCTGGTTGTGTAATAAAACGCACAAATGCAATATCCCCCGTAGGTAAGAAAAGGTTTCCCTTTAAACGTGAGAAATATTTAGGCGAAAGTTAAATCTATGTATTATAAACAGCTGCGCGTTGGCTCTTAGGAGTTACAAGAAGAACGAGAGGACGCGTACCAAGGCAATTATGGAATATAATTACGCGATTAATTAGCACCAGGATCGACCGTAGTTTAGTAATCCGTGCTGGTTTATGTACTCGAGAGAAGAACGAATAGATAATTCTATCTTTTTCTTTCATTCTCGCGATAATCATACGACAATCGCAACGTCAGAATCGTTGTAACGATGCTAAATGCCGAGAACTTTGTTGTTCTATCTTTTTCTATTTCTCTATCTTTCTCCCTCTTTCTCTTTCTTTCTGTTTGCTATGCCTACGATGAACGACCTTTACTCCAACGCCTTCGTGAAAGTGCGATCGCACGAAGAAGTCCTTGCGCCTTTACGAAGCTACTTTACGATCTTTGCTATCTTATTTAGCGATTTCCTCGAATTTTAACGAGTTTCGTGTCTAACAGTCATGGTGGTTTTTCGTGATCGACATTAATTCTTTTCAAAAAGTTGTCGTTGTCGTATTTTTATCACTATGTTATTACATGGGTGGATACCTAAGTGAAAAAATAAGGAACAAGCAATAGGATGACTCGACTATTTGTATCTGATCGAGAGATCAACGGACTCCTGTTAACTCTCCTCACACTTTGCGTCTTTTATCCTTCATAGAAATGAAAGATGCTTCGGAAAGGAGACACCGATGTCGAGCAGGTTAAGCGGATGAAATTTTCTTCATGCATTATTTATGTTGTTACTTGTGTGTTATTGTATGCCATAGGATTTGCTTGGACGATCTACTCCTTCCTTGGACTATCTCATTTACTTTGTATTTTATCGACTATGCAAAGCTTTAAATTGTTATCCTTAAGGGAAGAAAAAAAAGGTTTAACCATTTGCAAGGTAGAAAGAAAAAAAAAGAAAAATGTTGGATCGCGTTCCATCGCTCGTGATTAGACTATGCATCGATTGCCTTTAATAGAATCACTTAATTTGCATACACTTAGAAAGGCGGAAGCACGTTTCTTCGACGTCGAAGAGGACGCGCGCCAACTTGATGCGATTCTGAAAGACCCCTCGTCTAACTGTTGTCGCAAATTGTTCGCGTGCTCGCACTTTCTATTGGCACTTGATTACGATAAACCAAGCAGGTGGGTTTTCAATTGACTTTTGTCGCTATGACTGTTCAATAAAGTATGTAAAATATTACGCTGAACTATGAAAAAGAACATATAAGAAAATCATTTTTTACATCTCGTTAAATCGTATCTATACGAAAATAAAATCAAATGTTATCTTATTTATATGTTCGTATGTGTACGTATACAAATGTATTCGTATGTGAGTGAATTCATGAGAGAACCTTTCTCTCCTTTATATTTTCATTATAACTTGTTCGTGTAACCGGATAAATCTGTCACGCAAAGGGGCTTTTCACTCCCTAGACACGACTTCTCGGACTAATGCCAGTTTCCACGCAGCTATTCCAACGTTTAGTTTACGAGGTGCGAGAGAGTACGATGCAGCTAATGCATATGCATGCAGAAAGGAGGAGCGCAATAGAACGTTCTAGGTACAAACGTGAAATCTTTTTTCCAAGCTCGTTGCCTCGGTACGTGCTCGGACCAAGAAAGAGAAAGAAATGGGAGAAAAGTAACCTACGTAAGTACTTACATATATATATTTTTATAAATATATCTATATATATATATATATGTTTATTTGTATAATATATACGTACCCCCGTTCAAAGCTTATGACTTTTTGAGATTATTTTACGAGAATTCACCGCTTTGAGCGTTTAGTTAACGATTAGAAATTTATTATTATCCAAAGTTATTTACGACATGTAACGTGACTTCTAATGAATCACGCGAGCCCAATTTGGTGCACTCACTCGAGTGCACCATAGCATCCTTTGCTGCTCTCAACCATGGATATATTCCTCCTCCTTATTTTCGCTCTCGCTTCTTCAACGAAGTATCGTTTTAAACGATCCTATACCATTATTATTTTTCTTTTCTCTCCAAGCGCCTTTTTACGAAGCTTCAAAGTTTACGTTATTCTGGTTCTCTCTTGGTTAACTCTAATATTTTTTACTAATTCATATATCCTATTTGAAGGAATAAAAATCTAGTCATAAAATATTTAATTACTTCGTGTTTTTCGATAACGCTATCAGTAGGTAAGATCTGGTGAACGTGATATTCTTTATCTCTGTACATACTATCGTGTCCGTGCACGGTCACACATGTCCTAATCCAAAAGCAAGGAAGGGCTTGTTTCTTTGATACTATCGAAGTAGCTTCTTAGATTAATGTATGTGCCATGTTAGATAATTGAAGGAGATTTAATTAAGATTAACTCAGCCGCATCGTTGCGTATACTTGTTCAAAGTGAAACGTATGAAATAAATGAAATTACTTCGATTCAAATCTTAATTATAACTAGAATCATATATCTATCTATCCGATAATTTTCTACGAAAATAATAAATATTAACTATACAAAAAAATGATAAAACAAAAAAAAAAAATAAAGAGAACAAACAAGAAATAAGTAGGTAGGAATACATCGTAAAAATTGAAATCACTAGTTTGGATCGTGCAGGTGGAAGTTGGACGTTGCTCTTCGGTAAACAGATACGGAGCATCATTCGTCTGGTTGCTGAGTTTCAAAGTAGTTGAAGGTATCTCGTACCTTCTTCTTCCCGCGGGATACAAGGCAAATTTATACCCGGTCACTTGCACCGTATGTCATTATCCGTCATTACGACCGAACGGAGGATCAGCATTGGACCCTGTCGTTCTCTTGCGTGCCATGTTAAGTCGTCCTTGACGTTACCAGTACCACAAATTCATGCAACCTGTCCTTCTAACGCGATCAGTACTTACAGAATCTTCCTGCTTGCATGTCCACGTATACGCAAGGGTCTACATGCCGAGGGATAGGATATCGTTTAGGTCATTAAGGCTCGGGAGATGGTATCGACTCATTTTATTCCATTTTTCCATCCTTCCTTCCTTCCTTCCTTCGTGTTCGTGTTCGTGTTCGTTTGTAGCAGTGATTCGACTTTATAGCGATCATAAGTTAGCTACTATAAAATCAAATCTTTACTTACGCTCAAACTTTAAAATATACTTATCCTTTTTCCTATGAAGAAAACTTCGTTTTATCTATAAGTAATTTTCTTTTTTATCCTTTTTTTTTTTTCTTATAATACTTCCCTCTATTATTCTAGATTAAGAAAATAAAAACACGTATAAGTATTCCCTTAAACTCGTTCGAGATTGTTGTAAGTAGGGGTATGTTTGGTTAAAAGACTCAAGCAAATCGATTATGGAGAAAACGTAGGAGTTTCTTCGAGGCAACGATTCTCGATAACGAGATTCACGTTGCTGTCCGTCATTAGTCTCCCCCACCTCTTACTTTTTCTCCCCCTTAGTCCCTCCTTTCTGTTCCCGACTGAGTATAGTGGATCCGTTTAAGAATAATAGCGGACGATCGCAGAAAGTACCTCGCGAGCGGCTGGTAACGCAGGTCGACGGTGCAGGTCGGCACCGTGCGCCTCGAATTCGCGCGATGGTATCGACCCTAAGCGCCTGTCTTTATACCCTCGGTCTCGCATTGGATATCCTTCTCGAGATACGAGCCATTAAAGTCTCCACCGCGAGGAGATCCTTTCCTTCTTCTTCTTCCTCTCTCGTTACATTCCATCCTTCAAGATATACGTATTCATCCTCGGTAAAATGTGCTGACTGAATGGGGTAGGAGGGTTAGAAGGAAATGGTAGGAGTAACGATGATTACGGCATCCGACTTGTTGCAAAGAGGAACGAACAAAATGATCGGTCAGTTCTCGAGATCTTGCGAATGCCTTATTTCTCGACCAAGTTAATATACTTTTGGTAAGAAAAAAACTAGCACGAGGAATATAAACAGGAGTAGAAAATATAATTATCTTTTCTATATAGAGACGTTATTGATAATAATTATATATAGAGTAAAAAAAGATTTTTATTGAAATAATCCGTAGGAATCTTAGTTAACGAGGCTCATGATTCTTGCTCTATTTTTGACCACCTTCTTAAGGAGATGATCTGCTCTTCAAGGATAGCCTCTATCGGCTTCGTTCGATAAAACGTATCGTACGAGTAAAGAAAAATCTAAGGGAACGCGAAGACTCCGATGGTCTTCTTCGTGTCGTCGTCGTCGTCGTCGTCGTCGGCGGCGGTTGTGGTTGTCTTCGTAGTTGTCAAAGGAAGAAAGAAAATGAGGAAAAGAAGGACGAGACGTCGTGCTGGTTCTTCTTCTTCTTCTTCTTCTTCCTCCTCTTCCTCCTCTTCCACCTATTTCTGCTTCTTCTTCTGCTTTGCTTCCTCGAAGAAATACGTGCGTTGATCGGCAATTTTCCCGGAGAGTAGTCGAGTATCTCGTATCAAGGCGAGTATGCTACACATACCTATCTAGACTCTAAACAGGTTTCCATGCGAGTATATACGAGTGAAAAATCACTTGCACACTGGGTTTGC